AACTAAAATGTCAGTTTCCTTCAAATTTAGCCTGGAGATTGATGAGATTAACTGGTTTATCAGCTGGGGTAACTGTGGGTTTAGAACTCCAATTCTAAACCATGTCACCTACAAAACGCCTTTGCCTTGATTTCTACAAATTCTTGTGGCTAACTTCATCCTTCCCTCAATTCTCTGCCTTTCACCTTTGTTGTGTTACCCTGTATCCATCTGGACACAGAGCCCAGCTCATTTATCTGGTTTCCTCTCCCTTTCCAAAAATAAAATTATGTTGCATTTAATATTTCCTTTATTTAGTCATATAACTAAAGAAGTCACAAAAAGTCACACTGTACACCCACTGCCTTCCAACTGCCTCCTCACTTTACCTTATCTATTTCCCTCTAGGACAACTCTTGAAAACCTCCATTTTCCTGGAATAGAACAATTCTTCCTGTACTCAGGATCCTTCAGGGTCTCAAATTCCACCCCAATAGCTTATCAAAGTATTTACAAAAAAACAAAGGCAAAAAATAGGTCTTCCTTCCTCCTAGGAATTCTGGTAAACAGAATTTTAAAATTTCTCCATTTCACTTTTTTTTTTTTTTCTTTTTGGTGAGGTTTACATGAAAACCTTCTTAGAGTGCCACACCTCATGAGAAAGGGTAGTGGTCATCTACTGACTCTGGAATCACTTTCCTATGTTGGGTCTTGATCCATTTATGGATACTCCATAATTTCAAAAAGCTTAGTTAAATGTTTACAGACAATGCTAGACATGGGGCCTGGGGTAGGGAATGTTCTGGGCATAAAGAAGAATAGACATTGGGTAAGTATATACAACAATAGAATTTTAAATAGTTTGCAGGAAATACAAAACAGTATGATGGCACTAGTGGGAAAATTCTGCAGAAGGCTCAGCATCAAGTAAAGAAAGGTGACACCCATCTTCCTTGTCCACGGACACTCAGAGGCTTCCATCTCCTTCGAACATTCGTGTTGCCCTGGGCTCATACTCTCTTCTCTGGTGAGGTTAACAATTAGGTATCCCAGTGATAAAGCAGGATGCAGATAAAGCAACTTGCTAAATAAATAAGTTTTTTTCGAAAGATGACTCTGGAGAAGTATGAATATTATAGCTTTCCTAAAATAAATTCATCTTTCCTAGAATTAAGATATTTAAGCATTTTAAATGACAGTATCTACATTACATAATTTCTTGATGATAGTTGGAATACAAAATTATACAACCACTATTTGTGTCCCTTATTCTTCCTCCCTACCTTCTTCCACAAACATTTATTGACACTGTAGTAAGAACTGTGCTAAGATATGAGGATACAGAGATAAATGACAACTCTTTCCTTTAAAGGTTCAAAATCTAGAAAGGATTCAGGCATGTAGATACAATAAAGACTGCACACTATGTACAAAGACAGAGATGAGACAGTCTCATGAGAGCATATACTACAGGCTAAAGTAGGTGGACCAGCATTTGCTTTCTGAAAGAAGAGGCATCTGAGCTTGTTTTACAGGGTCAATAGCTAGCTACTAAGGAAGGAAGGAAAGGATGTTCCATGTAAAGGCACCCAATGCAAAAGGGTCGAGAGCACCTGGTCTTTCTGGGGATATGCAAGTAATTGAGCATGGCTGAAGCAGTATGGGTACAGTATGCAGGGAGAAATGGCAGTGATGCAACAGTGAGATAAGTGAGGTTTGCAAACACAAAAATCCTTGTTCCCTAAGGGCAGTGAGGAAGGACAGGGTCAGAGTTGTGTTTAGTGAGGCCACGTTGGCAGTGATGTAGATAATGGAGGAGAGAACTAAGAAGTGAAACTGAAGGCGGCAGCTCAATTTGGAAACATAAAGGAATCCAGATGAGAAGAAAATCCACATTCAGTTAAGTCAGGGTCGAGCTCATGCACACAAGATAAGGCAAGACCTGTCTCATGACATCCTCCCAGGGGAGATAGGAAGGCCTATTTGATATATGCAGGGTCATCAGGACACCAGGGCAGAGCCTTTTCCCTACAGGCAATGGTAGTGGGTTTGGAAAGGAAGAAGTAAAGAATTAAAGAGATATTAGGAATCCAACTTACAAGGGATGTAAAGGACCTCTTCAAGGAGAACTACAAACCACTGCTCAATGAAATAAAAGAGGACACAAACAAATAGAAGAACATGCCATGCTCATGGATAGGAAGAATCAATATCGTGAAAATGGCCATACTACCCAAGGTAATTTATAGATTCAATGCTATCCCCATCAAGTTACCAATAACTTTCTTCACAGAATTGGAAAAAACTGCTTTAAAGTTCATATGTAACCAAAAAATAGCCTGAATTACCAAGACAATCCTAAGCAAAGAGAATAAAGCTGGAAGCATCATGCTACCTGACTTCAAACTATACTACAAAGCTACAGTAACCAAAACAGCATGCTACTGGTACCAAAACAGATATATAGACCAATGGAACAGAACAGAGGCCTCAGAAAAAACACCATAAATCTAAAACCATCTGATCTTTGACAAACCTGACAAAAACAAGAAATGGGAAAAGGATTCCCTATTTAATAAGTGGTGCTGGGAAAACTGGCTAGCCATATGTAGAAAGCTGAATCTGAATCCCTTCCTTACACACTTTATGGAAAAATTAATTCAAGATGGATTAAAGACTTAAATGTTAGACCTAAAACCATAAAAACCCTAAAAGAAAACCTAGGCAATACCATTCAGGACATAGGCATGGGCAAGGACTTCATGACTAAAACACCAAAAGCAATGGCAATAAAAGTCAAAATAGGCAAATGGGATCTAATTAAACTAAAGAGCTTCTGCACAGCAAAAGAAACTACCATCAGAGTGAACAGGCAACCTACAGTATGGAAGAAAATTTTTGCAATGTACCCCTTTGACAAAGGGTTAATATCCAGAATCTACAAAGAACTTAAACAAATTTACAAGAAAAAAACAACCCCATCAAAAAGTGGGTGAAGGACGTGAACAGACACTTCTCAAAAGAAGACATTCATGCAGTTAACAGACACATGAAACAATGCTCATCATCACTGGTGATCAGAGAAATGCAAATCACAACCACAATGAGATACCATCTCACACCAGTTAAAATGGCGATCATTAAAAAGTCAGGAAACAACAGATGCTGGAGAGGATATGGAGAAATAGGAACGCTTTTACACTGTTGGTGGGAGTGTAAACAAGTTCAACCATCACGGAAGACAGTGTGGCGATTCCTCAAGGATCTAGAACTAGAAATACCATTTGACTTAGCGATCCCATCACTGGGTATATACCCAAAGGATTATAAATCATGCTACTATAAAGACACATGCACACGTATGTTTATTGCGGCACTCTTCACAATAGCAAAAACTTGGAACCAACCCATTATGTCCATCAATGATAGACTGGATTAAGAAAATGTGGCATATATACACCATGGAATACTATGCAGCCATAAAAAAAGGATGAGTTCATGTCCTTTGCAGGGATGAAGCTGGAAACCATTATTCTGAGCAAACTATCACAAGGACAGAAAACCAAACACTGCAAGTTCTCACTTACAGGTGAGAACTGAACAAGGAGAACACTTGGACAGAGGGTGGGGAACATCACACACAGGGGCCTGCCATGAGGTGGGAAGCAGGGGGAGGGATAGCATTAGGAGAAATACCTAATGTAAATGACGAGTTAATGGGTGCAGCAAACGAACCTGGCACATGTATACCTATGTATCAAACCTGCACGTTGTGCACATGTACCCTAGAACTTAAAGTATAATAAAAAAAAGGAACAATGTATGCTAAAGCAGAGTACTTAGTAAGTGCTCAAAATCACTGTTAAATAATTGACCAAGGATTAAAAAAAGAATTAAGGAGGTATTAAACAATAGAATAAACAGGTTGGTGGCTAGATGGAGAAGTCAAAAATAATACCCAGGTTTCTGTCTGGAGCAACTGAGTAGATGATGAAATTTCATACAGATAGGTTATATGATGCAGAACAAGATTAATTTACAGGAGAGGGGGCAAGGGATAGTAAGGTGATATGACTTAGGGTTCATCATGTCTCCTTGAAGTGTAATCTTGGGATATCCAAAGAGCAGTGACAGTAGGCCATTGGATATATGATGTGGAAGCTCCTTAAAGAGATCTGGCATGGACCTATAGGGAGTTCTGGGATGCAGGTAGTAGTTAAAGGCACAGATAAACTGAGATCAAACAAAGGAGTGAATGAGAAGAGGGCATTTAGAATATCAAAGCTATGGTTTTTAAGAACAAATGTCCTCAAATAATAAGAACCATAGAAATAGAAGCACTACAGGCTAACATCTTAGAGAAATATACCCCTTTTCTTCTGTAGCTGAATTGGCTTTAAATTGTTTGGAAAGACCAGGTTTATAAAAGAAAATTGGTCACTATGGAAACAGGCTATTCAATATCAAACAGGCAGTTTGACCACAAAAGTGGTAATTACTTTAGTTTTTTCCTTAATTATATGTTTTCGTGGTTTTCAATAATCGTATATTCTTTCTGTCAGAAATTTGAAGTCAGTTAATGATGTGAGCCAAAGCAAAAATACTAGTCTATAGCTATTTCTCCCAGGTTGCTTACCATCAGAGCACCCCAGACCTAGATGTTTTGTGACTTTAATACTCTGCATTTTATCATGGTATACAATTTATCTAATTTATATAGCCAATCTAAATCTAAATGAACAGAGTCACAAGAAATGTCTCTCCATCTTTTGCTTCATGGCCAATCTCCTTAATTAAGAATGTATGGATGTCATATTACCTATCAATTTTTACCCTAGGATGCTATTAAAATCTAAAGCTATACCAGAAAAAAATATATATCACATTTTAAGAAATATGTCATCAAAATCCTAAACAAAATTCATGTAAATTCTTGTAATCTAAGTCTTTCGTCTGGTACATTATTCTACATTTTTAAATTCAGAATACATTCATATTTAAACAGTAGTTACTTCACTAACCTTATCCAAAAAAGCTTGTATTGCTGCTTCCTGATTCGCCGTATAAGCAATGTATCTATGTCTCCCAATAGAAGCAATTATCTGAGTCTCTTTTTCCAGAAGTTCACACAGAGCAGCTTTCCTTTCAGCTCCAGTGAAAGATTGGTTAATACGTTTAAGTTCTTCTTGCCGCCAGACTAGAGGAATAACACAATAGACTCTTGAGTTTTTAAAAATCCCACTTTTTTATGATCACATCCTGACGAGGAGTATTTTATTTTTACATCAATTTAAACAAAAGTATACTCGAATAGAATCATTTATATTGTATACCTGATGCGCAAAAAAAAGTGACAAAATGGAAGCTGAGAGACTTAATAAAAGTAGAATCAAACAAACAGAAGCCAAAGGGAAACAGTACAGATGATGTCAAATTATGTCTCCAAGTGAGCACTCATACTGCTTAGCATTGACAAAAATATGACTTGGATTTTGTGGCAGCCATGAGCGTGCACTGTTCACATCTCCCTTCAAGAGAGTACCTGTCACAAAGGGTAAAGGTAATTGACAGTTCCAACTACAGCATTTCAGATCTGCTGCCTTGTTGAAGCTGAGGTCACATTCTGCCTACAAAATTCTCATCAATGACCAGGCACCATGTGGGAGTCAGAACCAGGCTGTATCTGCCCAACAATGGACTTTTCTGTGGTCAATCATATATGAGCCAATTGTTGGGCTGGCTTAGCCTTCCTTAGAGTTAAGACTCTCCATACCCCATCTTCTTTCCTTCCCTCTCTCAATTGATGAGGTGTCAAATCTCATCTCAAACTGAAGATTTCCTTTTCCTTCCTCTGATCCCTTTCCTCTTTATCTTTCACTTCCAATTACATCCTGGTGTCTGCTTCCCCAAGGACCCAAGCTGATATAGTTTTATGTAGAACTGTTGATATCAGTCATTTCCTTCATTCACTTAGGCACCATTTTCCATTTATTTACAAAACTCTAAATTATAGTCACAAATATTATAAAGTAATTGCATTTACTGTTTACTCAAACTAATGCATTATTTTATCATAATATTTATGATATTTTAAAGCCCTGGTTACTATCAATAGGCCGAGACGGGCGGATCACGAGGTCAGGAGATCGAGACCATCCTGGCTAACACAGTGAAACCCCGTCTCTACTAAAAAATACAAAAAAATAGCCGGGCGAGGTGGCGGGCGCCTGTAGTCCCAGCTACTCGGGAGGCTGAGGCAGGAGAATGGCGTAAACCCGGGAGGCGGAGCTTGCTGTGAGCTGAGATCCGGCCACTGCACTCCAGCCTGGGCGACAGAGCGAGACTCCGTCTCAAAAAAAAAAAAAAAAAAATGTGCTGCCCAAACTTAAATAAGTCAAAATTTCCGAGCTCAGATGCATGCATTTTACCAAGTTTTCATTTAATTTTTACATATACTAAATTTGGAAAAGAAAACTCTTTTGTATCCCACAATTCAAAAATGTCAACCTTATTTATATTAACAAAAGAATAGGGTTGGAAAGAACTTGAGAAATTAAATTGTTCAACCCCATGTTTAAGAAAGGATCCTTCTCGGAACAGCTTGAACAGGTTTAATTGGCCCACCCTGGTTCTAATACTAGCTTGTGAGGCAACACTGCGTCAGGTTGTTTCTTGGGCCACATGGTACTCCTTTAGGTATGTGAAGAGAGCAATCATCCCTCATTTATGTTTTATCTTCTCTAGACATAAATATTTCTATTTCTTCAATTGTGCATCATTTGACTCATTTTCTGTCCATGTAAGTCAAGCTCCTCTGATTTATCATAGTACCTCTTAAAATATGGCATACCAAATTTCTGACAAGATAGAAGCTTCTACACAAACTTCTACCTCCCTTCTCCTATGTCACTGCTAAAATGATAAAAGAAATACGAAAGACAGGAGAAATGAGAGAGACCTGAATCAGTACTAAAAATCTGAAAGGAATTTATCCCTATGTAAGAAACCCTGGGGAATTTCGAAAAGATATAGTGCAGATACTACCAAATAAATGAAAGACTGTCAAAAAAGCACATAAATGTTGTTATCCAAACTTCTGCTTTCTCATTTCAGAAAGTGAACATCGTAGCAGAAGATGGGAAACCCCAACTTAAGCAACTCGGAACTAGAGAAAAGAGCAGCTTATCAAGCTATTTGACAGTTTACCATGCTTTAAGAAAGTCTTTGAGAAACTTTCAGAAGAATGCCTAACATTTCAAGTCACTGCAGAAGATAATAACAACTATGAGCTTATGCAAAAAAAAGAAAAATATTTTAAATAGTACAGAAAGCAAGAAGAGAAAAGCAAAAAAAAAAAAAGCATAATAGTTATGTTAAAATATGAAATGATTATACAGATATTTTTCTGTTGAAAATAAGATAATTTTGCAAAATTCTAGGGACATGATGTTTCCAGAGGGGACACTTGAAAAAAACTGACACCAAAGGTGAAATTTAAAAGGTTAGCAGAGGGGGCACGCCCAAGATGGCCAAATAGGAACAGCTCCAGCCTCCAGCTCCCAGCGTGAGCGACACAGAAGACAGGTGATTTCTGCATTTTCAACTGAGGTACCGGGTTCATCTAACTGGGGCATGTTGGACAGTTTGCGCTGGTCCCCGGGTGCAGCCCGACCAGCGAGAGCTGAAGCAGGGCGAGGCATCGCCTTACCTGGGGAGCGCAAGGGCGAAGGGAATTCCTTTTCCTAGCCAAAGGAAAGTGAGACACACAACACCTGGAAAATTGGGTAACTCCCACCCTAATACTGTGCTTTACCAAGGGTCTTAGCAAATAGCACACCAGATTATATCCCACACCTGGCCTGGAGGGTCCCACGCCCATGGAGCCTCCCTCATTGCTAGCACAGCAGTCTGAGATCTAACTGCAAAGTGGCAGCGAGCCTGGGGGAGGGGCGCCTGCCATTGCTGAGGCTTAAGTAGGTAAACAAAGCTGCTGAGAAGTTCGAATTGTGGGGAGCCCACCACAGCTCAAGGAGGCCTGCCTGCCTCTACAGACTCCACCTCTGGGGACAGGGCATAGCTAAACAAAAAGCAGCAGAAACCTCAGAAGAGGTAAATGTCCCTGTCTGACAGCTTTGAAAAGACCAGCGGATCCCCCAGCACGAAGGTTGAGATCTGAGAACGGACAGACTGCCTGCTCAAGTGAGTCCCTGACCCCTGAATGGCCTAACTGGGAGACATCCCCCACTAGGTGCAGACTAATACCTCACACCTCACACAGCTGGGTACACCCCTGAGATGAAGCTTCCAGAGCAAGAATCAGACAGCAACACTTGCTGTTCAGCAATATTCTATCTTCTGCAGCCTCTGCTGCTGATACCCAGGCAAACAGGGTCTGGAGTGGACCTCAAGCAAACTCCAACAGACCTGCAGCTGAGGGTCCTGACTGTTAGAAGGAAAACTAACAAACAGAAAGGACACCCACACCAAAACCCCATCAGTACGTCACCATCATCAAAGACTAAAGGCAGATAAAATCACAAAGATGGGGGGAAAAGCAGGGCAGAAAAGCTGGAAATTCAAAAAATCAGAGTGCATCTCCCCCTCCAAAGCAACGCAACTCATCGCCAGCAACAGAACAAAGCTGGACGGAGGATGACTTTGACCAGTTGAGAGAAGGAGGCTTCATTTGATCAAACTTCTCAGAGCTAAAGGAGGAACTACATAACCAGTACAAAGAAACTAAAAACCTTGAAAAAAGAATGGATGAATGGATAACTAGAATAACCAATGTAGAGAAGACCTTAAAAGAACTGATAGACATGAAAACCATAACATGAGAACTACGTGACAAATGCACAAGCTTCAGTAACCAACTCGATCAACTGGAAAAAAGAGTATCAGCGACTGAAGATCAAATGAATGAAATGAAGCGAGAAGTGAAGTGTAGAGGAAAAAGAGTAAAAAGAAATGAACAAAGACTCCAAGAAACATGGGATTATGTGAAAAGACCAAATCTACGTCTGATTGGTGTGCCTGAAAGTGACGGGGAAAATGGAACCAAGTTGGAAAACACTCCGCAGGATATCATCCAGGAGAACTTTCCCAACCTAGTAAGGCAGGCCAACATTCAAATGCAGGAAATACAGAGAATGCCACAAAGATACTCCTCGAGAAGAGCAACTCTAAGACACATAATTGTCAGATTCACCAAAGTTGAAATGAAGGAAAAAATGTTAAGGGCAGCCAGAGAGAAAGGTCGGGTTACACACAAAGAAAAGGCCACCAGACTAACAGCAGATCTCTCGGCAGAAACTCTCCAAGCCAGAAGAGAGTGGAGGCCAATATTCAACATTCTTAAAGAAAAAAATTTTCAACCCAGAATTTCATATCCAGCCAAACTAAGTTTCACAAGTGAAGGAGAAATAAAATCCTTTACAGGCAAGCAAATGCTTAGAGATTTTGTCACCACCAGGCCTGCCCTACAAGAGATCCTGAAGCAAGCACTAAAGTTGTAAAGGAACAACAGGTACCAGCCATTGCAAAAACATGCCAAAATGTAAAGTCCATCGATGCTAGGAAGAAACTGCGTCAACTAGCGAGTAAAATAACCAGCTAATATCATAATGACAGGATCAAGTTCACACATAACAATATTAACCTTAAATGTAAATGGACTAAATGGTCCAACTAAAAGACACAAACTGGCAAACTGGATAAAGAGTCAAGACCCATCAGTTTGTTGTATTCAGGAGACCCATCTCACATGCAGAGACACATACAGGCTCAAAATAAACGGATGGAGGAAGATCTACCAAGCAAATGGAAAACAAAAAAAAGCAGGGGTTGCAATCCTAGTCTCTGATAAAACAGACTTTAAACCATCAAAGATCAAATGAGACAAAGAAGGCCATTACATAATGGTAAAGGGATCAATTCATCAGGAAGAGCTAACTATCCTAAATATATATGCACACTATACAGGAGCATCCAGATTCATAAATCAGTCCTTAGAGACTTATAAAGAGACTTAGACTCCCATACAATAATAATGGGAGACTTTAACACCCCACTGTCAACATTAGACACATTAACATGACAGAAAGTTAACAAGGATATCCAGGAATTGAACTCAACTCTGCACCAAGTGGACCTTATAGACATCTACAGAACTCCCCACCCCAAATCAAGAGAATATAC